TAATGCATCGTGGGATAACAGAAACGCATGGCAACATATTATGCATACGCGTTCGATAACAAGTTCGATTGTTTGTCAACTTGATAAAAGCGTAAGCTCATCCTTCACGCTCCTTTAATTACGTAAAATGGTTCGCGTGGCAGAGCGATTATCATTCGAGCCAGTGCAAATACACAAAATATAGCAGCGAAAATAAAACTGTTTCGAGCGCAGTCGTTGCAAACAGCCAGATTATATGTCACGACATCAGTTTCGTAGAATCATCTGTAAATCGCAAAACTGGGTCATAAAATAATCATTTGCGAATACAACATTTTCTTTTCCTTCGAACAAAAGAAGGAAAATTATGAATCAATAAATGTAGAAATATTATCTTTGTGCAGAAAGTGCTTTCACATTTCAAGAAAGACAAGAACAGACAGACGTTTCGATGAAACGACATTTCTATCAAATTTTCTTTTCTACATGCTTTATTAAATCACATCCTTTTTTCCGAATTAAAAATTAACATTCAAATTTATATACGTGCATTCGACTCTTTTCAATTTCTATTTAATTTCTATTTTTAATTTCTACTTTATTTCTATTTTGCAGTATCTTAATTTTGACATTAAATACCACTAGAAGATTAATGTATCGAGGGAAAACACCTTCCTCATATATTTCCTCGCTACAATTCTGTCTTCCATTGTCGGAATTCCTTAAAGTAATGTTGTATCAGGCGAGTATTGGAAAAATACACGCGGGAAGTTAATAGCAATTTTACGGCACTCGGATTTTTCCCTCCCCCGATCCCTATCACGGATATCGCGCGCGCGTACTTTAATTGCAGTAATTCACCTACAGTGACGTCCGTTTGTTCTATCATCCGAAAAGGACGATAAATTTACTCGGAGTGCACTTCCGTCTAATGCAAGCGTCGCGCGCCCAGGACAGGGCGTTTATTTGTTCGTGCCATTTTATATTTCTCCGATAAAGGACATGCGTGCGGAACAGGGATGCGAGACGTGAAATTTTGCTTTACAGGCACAACTCGCGCGTAAAACTGTCTTCGGATTCACAGAATAACGTATGAACAGCCGTGCCAACGGAACCGATCGAGTATATTTCTCAATTGCGACATAAGGAATTTCCGATACAACAAAAACACGTGTACTTCTGGTGCATGCAATCGTGTTTTTGCTCGTGTAACGTTTTCTTCACGAGCAGTTTACTCCACTTTTCAGATATCGCGCGGTAATATTCGACTGATTTATAATCCGCAAACATTAAGTCGACTTGAATTAAGCCTCGACTAACTTTGTTCAAACTATGAGCTATCATAGATATTACAGAGTCGATTGTATCGTCCCCGTGGACGAATCAGTGTTGTAAATAGTTATCTATTCGAGTACTGTAAATTTCCCAGAATATGTACAAACGAGCTAAATTTGATACAACACTTTGACATAACAATGTAATTTTCCGGACATTTCGCTATGAAAACGCTATCTGCGAATAGAAATTATATAGAAAAGCCATTATAAATAAATAAATAAAAATATGCATGTATGTAAAATGCCTGTATATGTGTAAAGATTTCAGGTATGTAAAAGTTATGTAAAGTTTTTTTTCAATTCCTATTCAAATAAACATTCCACCGAAAGAATTCACGAACCCTTGTGACGGACAGTATGAATATCAAAATAGTTTTCCCTTCTCGTTTCTTTAAAAAACAGTGGGTAATAAATATATTTCTATGAGACTATATATCCTGCTTTTTTAATTACAAACGCAAAAAATGTGGACAATTTCGCTTATCAGCGATCTCATTTACTGCGGAATTTCGCAATCTCATTTACCGCAAAATACGTATATCGGAATTGAACGTCTGTCACGTAGAAATATAATTTCCTCCGGCAAAAAGGATATGTAAAAAAATGTCCAATCGGAAATAGTGTAAATTGGCTTCATTTGAGCGAGTATTTTTCACAAATAAAGTTCCTCGCTTTCGTAAATTGGAGCTAAGTGCCGTGAAAAGTCCATTCTAAAATTGCAAAATTACTCTGAAAATCTTTAATCATTTTATAAAATAAATCTGAGATTTTTTCTTGATTGATTACATAAATATATAAATTAAAATAATAAACAAACATCTCATATAATTATAAAAAATGAAATTTTTTAAATAATAAAATATACTAATATTATTATATTAGTAGAACTATTTCAAGATGGGCGAGATATATTTTTATGCATACAATTATTTAATTTAAAAATTGCAATCTGGAACGATTAAATTATACGTCTTGAAAAGAGACTAAATTTGCACTCTCATCGTTGTTATAAGCGGAGCGTTTTCTTAATTAACATTATCAGCTTGCCCCATTTTTCCGATTTTTACTTCCTTGTAAATATTGCTTTATGTAAGAAATACTATATTAGATAGATTGATTACTCTGCACTCTTTGCGATATGAAACAAACAAGTGGGAAAGAAAGTGACAGATTTGTTGTGATGTGAGAAATTCGTAAGCGAGAAATTTAATCATATCATACTTCTTTCGAATGCAAGCCGAAAAAGCTACGGAACAGATATACTTTAAACTGACGAAAAGTCTGTAAGAAGGTAGGCGAACAGTAATCACAATCCGCGGGAGCGGAAAATAGGATCTTGTACGACTTAGCAGTGTTTTCGGATGTTTGAGGAAATGTTAATCTTCAAATTGTTAGCTAATTTTTCATGTAAAACATATCCTCAGTAATATATGTGGAATATTTTATATTTAGTTTAAAAAAATTGAAAAACTGCGTGTGCACGTATTAATGCAAATAAGTAAACAATACATTAGAAGAGATGATAGATAAAAAATATGTAACAATAAAAAGTAATAAAAACATGAAACAAGATTATATGATATTATTAACCAGCCTGTGTTATATTTAATCCACTATTACTTATAAATTTTTTTTCGAGTTTGTAAAGAGCAATAAAACATAATATCTATAATAATCGTTATGCTCCTAGAGAAGTCTATGTTTTAATATATACTTCGTTTTATTTTGGTATCTTAATCTAGTCGTAACTATATCTCATCAAATTGAGTGGATCCTACCTCCCACAGCTTGATATTTTGTTCTTTTATGTATGGAGCATTTATTCTCTTTCTCTATCTTTCTCTATTAAATCTTTATTTGAAGGCATTCTCTTGGCTTGTCCGAAATAATTTAGTACAATTTTTATTTTTTTTTATTTACACACACATACGCACAAACATACACACTCTTGAAACTATAAAAAAAGTGATCTAATATTTTATAAGGCATTCTATCGGAAATTAATTAGAAATAAAAACATGGAAAGTTTTTTTCAGTTTTTTTCTTAGAGACTTGCATTATTTTTCACGACTCGTGTATAATTAATAATATCTTTATTTAAAGAACAAAGAAACGTTTAAAAATATGAAAATCTGTTAATCGAAAAGTAAAAAGTTACATAGCGAGACGATGGCTTTTATATCGTAAACAATAATCCGTAATTTACATAAATTTTTAATATATATTAATAATTAATATATTTATATAATTTAATATTAATATATTTTTTTCAATAATGCACTTGTCTCACAATAACGCATAACATTTTTGCAAAAACATATTTCGCAAAAATTATATAAAGCCTTCAATGAGAAACTAGATTTTCCGGATGTCCCAGAAGTTGAATTGTCGCAATTTCCAACGATTTCGAAATAAACGGGAGAATCAATTTCGAGAAAGAGCACGCGACGAAAGAGCACTTTAGATAAGCGTGTATATCCGCTCGTTTCGAATCATAACAATATACACACAGTCATGTTTATTGTAAATTCTACAATACACTTACATTGATTGAAGACGAGCGGAAAGAAGTATCGACACAACCGCGAGATGTCAATAAAAATGCGTAGACACATGCACACACGGACAAACATGCGAGTTATTTTATGCAAGTTAAATTCATTAAAGTTTCGACGATTAACTAACGCAAAATGCACAATATACAATATACATATATATGTGTGGCCTAGCGAAAATATTTCAGTATATCGCTCAACTATCAGAATATATTCAACGTACGTTTTGTATATAAATTATTATCATTTTACGATACATTTAATAGGAATCTACGATTAATGTTTTGTCGATGTTGATTAAATTAATGCGTCTGACATTCTCATATTTCATACGATTATAATAAAATTCCGATTCAACGATTGCCTGATATGTTTATTTATAAGATACGTTTATTTATATGGTAATGTGCTGCGATTCTCTCTCTTTCTCTCGCTCTTTGCTATTTCGCATTTACAACTATCTCATGCCTGCATGTTCTGTATAATTATATAGAATAATATAATCTAATCAATATTCGTTCGATTAATTTATTGCCTTCGACAATTTTCCACAACGTCCCGCGCCTCGAGAATTCCCGCCCCTGCGAAAAATGATAAAATTAATTATAAAATGACGTTCGACATTATATTTCATTTTCGGATCACAAAGAAGAACAAAATGTGACGAGACGCTTATTAAAGTTGTACCACGGGAAGAAGAAGCGTCGCAACTCTCGGAAGAATAATCTTGGGGCGACAAGATTTATCATTACGGTTAACAGACAGATCAACAGATGTTCTCGTAGAGGGACATAAATTTTACTTGGCCACGCAAACTAGCTAGCTTATAATTTCCGTTTCTGAAGAAGACAAATTTTACTTTTGTCCGTCTACAATTATACCTTTCTCGTCCCGCGATGCGAAAAGAAAATCATCCTACGGAGGAATGTTTCTTCAGCGTCAAGAGCATGCAAGAGAAAACTTGCAAATTTTCAATCGCATGCATACAAGCGTAACATGCACACAGCCAGCGGACAAGGTATTGCGTGCGCATTTTATTGAATTTTATTGAATTTTATCGGTCGTGGTCGGCGTCTGGTCCTAGCAATTTCGTGCTTCGCGAAACGCGACTGAGATGATTTCTACTCACAGACTCTGCGACAAGAAGCGCGACAGCGCCAACTTCCCGATACGATTGTTCTTCAGGCCATCCAACATAGCCGACGCCGCGATCTCCATTTTCTATCGGGTGCTCAAGAAGACGAAGATTCGTGGTATTCGCGATGGGTTCCGCGAACCCGTTTGATCCGACTTAATCGTTCGCAAAAGAGATCTGGCACCCTTGTTCGCGTCTTCTTATCCCCCGATGGCAAAGTGCCCCTTGCCGATCCGCTGGCAGCTCATCGATACATGACGTTTCATGATCCGGCGATCCAGTTACTTCGATCTCTCGCTCTCTTTTAAAGCGTGGCTTTTTTTCTTCGTCTCGCGAGATGAAGAAGATACTTGGCGATTTACAATGATGGGAGGCGCGAATACGCGAACCCAGTCGCTTCGATGGATCGATTCGATGTTCCTCGTTGACGCAGGTAATTCACCTCTCGTTCGACCGCTATCGATCTGACACGCGGTATCGGTAGCTTTTACCGGTTCGGCTCGAGAAGACTTCCGCTTCCGATCTCTTACATAAACGTTCTGTTTTATATGTCTATCGATCGGATACACTTACATTAGTTCCTCTTGTTTCCTCGTCTCGCCCTTCTTTATTTGTATTATTCCTTTCTTATTCTTTCAGTTTGGTACAACTGTTTACTTTCAACGAGATCAGGGTCTTTGCGAAAGAAACATCAGCAGGCGCGCTGCAAGGCGGAAGTTCGGTTCGATGGAGAGAGAAAGAGAGGCAAGTTGAGTTATTCTATTTTAACCCAATTTCCAAGTGGCTGGCTCGCTCGTTATGTTTCATCGAAGGACGGTCGTTAAAATGATCACGCAATTACGGCGCTCTTTAACGTCCTAGATTAACGCGAGTCCCGTTATTTAATAACGCGTGTAAAAAAATGTGACACACACACACGCGCGCGCGTCACGTACGTTGACTCGTGTATCGAACCGACTGGTCTCGCGCCCTGGAAGTGCGCGAGTTTGAGCGCACGCACCGGAAAATCGTGCTTGTGCTCCAAACAATCAACAACAAACAACGCAACGAACTACAACAACAACTAGCGGGTCGCCGCTGGCGACGCGACAACGGGACTCGACCGTCACATTATACGTGATCCCTCGTTGAATCCGGCTCACGAGCGTGGTCCTCCCGTGGAGCTTCCCTCTTCGGGTACGAGGGCCTTCCCTTCGCGCACACACACATGCACACGCACTGGAAGAAGCTCGGGAGTCTCGGAAACGAATGCGCGATGCACCACGAGAAAGGCACCGTATCAACAATCTCTATCTCTTTCCTCTGTCTGGCCTTTCTTTTCTCCCACGACTTCTCTTCCTTTTCGTTTGTCGGGTTTATCGCGCGCGCATCTAACGCGGGAAGGAAAAGAGACTCGACTTCGGTCCGATGGAAAATATGGGAAGACTGTTTCCGGATCGCGATCTATGATCTCTCCCTGTTTCCTTCTCTCCGCACAACAAATTCTCGGATCGATAAATTCGCTCGGAGGATCATGCGAGCGCGCTCGAGGAGAGATCTCGATCCGCTCGAGAGCAAGATCGCATGTTTTCTTAAGAGCGGGTCGTTTTAAAAGATGCAGCGCGAATGGACGGATCCCGTCCGGACTTGGTCGCGCGTGAGAGGCTCGTGCATCTGGGAAATATCCGCGACAGAAGACAACAACAACAGAGAGAGAGGTCGGGGCCTCCGTTCGCCAAAACGCGGACCGCCACTCTGATCGACGGTGTGACCTACTCGCACTGCTCTCAGCTGCTACCAACCCCCCAAAGTCGTACTCGCCATCCCTACTCCGTAACGCCATCCCTATCCCCCGGCTTCGCGTTCACCCCCCCGGGAGCACAGTCGGTAGATTCCTAGCCCGATCTTCTCGGCCGTTCCCCACCTCGTTCCTCCATCTCACCCCCCTGGCCCCCTCTAACCGAACCGACCCTCCTCCTCCACCCTCGAAACCCCCACCACGACTGTTAACCACTTCCACCCCGCCGCTCTCCCTCCTCTTTATCCTTCGACCGAACTACTCGCGTCGCGCACACACTCTCTCGTTCGAAAAACTCCCCGGTTTTGCCATAAAACCGGGATGTTTTTCGTCACCGATTTTCCCCGAAGGGCGACGCACCGCTGGACAATTTCCGCGTCTCAAGATGCATCTTCTTCGTATCTTCCCCTCGGCCCAGGGGATTCGATCAGTGCCAAACGTTCCCGCGCGAGAATGACTTTTCGCGCGGCAAATGCTTCGTCGATGCGTGTGCTTCTCCTGGTGTATACTGTATATATGTTTCCACGCGCGTATCATTAACGTGGACGGATCTTATCGATTGTGTGGGTGCCGAAACACCCACGAGCGCGGGATTGTGAACCGAACAGGTACAACGACAGCGTAATATTCGAAACAAGAAAGTTTCGACGTAGAAATCTGGCAAGATTGAGAGTTTACCAAGTAACAGACTTTGGAAAAGACATGAATGTATCTGAATTTAATTTTGCTGAAGATACTCATTCTCTCTTGACAAAGTCCTGGAGATGTATCGTAACGAAACAAGGCTGTCGCGAAAAAATTAATTTGAATAAAAGGACCGTGGCCGATTACAAAGCTTAAAATCCCCCGCAAGATAAACAAGCAAAAGGATGCAGCTTTCGGGTGAAATTAAAATACCCAGAGAATTTGCTAAACAAAATTTTTTAATCGGATGTATATCATTGTTTCCTTCAAGAGAGAAGAAACGTTTCTTTTGCGCGAGCAGGTAACTTTCTCGTCTCGAAGATATAACTCATCTGACGTCGTCAAGCTTTTAGCTGGCGCGTGTTTCCTTCTCTCTCCTTTTCTCTTGAAATAAGAGCGTGGCACATATGCAGCAAAAAGTTTCGCTCAAGTCGTACATTCACATTCGTGCAAACTTAATTTCCCTCCTGCATCGCGGTATAGAGTATTTCTTAGATCCTCCGATCCATTGCCAATTTATCAGAAGTCGGATATCTAACCGGGCGAGATTGTGAAAGTTTCCGCGTGAACAAGACCGCCGATAAAATCGACGATCTGAAGAGACGATCGATCGAAATGTGAAACGTGACGAACATTTCGAATGTCCGTGTCTTGTGTTTTGTGGCCTATAGCTCTGATTAGGGCGCATCTGGCATCGCAAAACAGTATCGCAAGGCAAACGCCAGAATGCTATACTAAAACGAGCAGTTGTGACCTTTCCCGTTTGCTCACGTCCCACATAGTTTCTAAGCGCGTGCACTATTACCAAATGTGTGATTATGCATCAAGTCTAGAATACACCAAAGTCGTTGGATATTCTTTTAATATAATGGCATTTTCTAAGAAAGAAAATAATCTTCAAATTGACTAGAAAATCTATTATTAAAAGAACATCCGATGATATTGAAATAGTCTGTGTAATAATTCTGGAGAAAATAAATTCTTTTATTTAAATCTACTTTAAAGCAAAAAATAGAAATAAGTTCAAACAATAAATTACGTCAATATTTACTTAAAATATCAATCTTCAATGTGGATAGATAGAATAAAAAAACAAAAAGATTGATCTTTCTTCGTTAAAACCTAACTAGATTGCATAATGAAAAACAGATGGATCTATGAGGAATAAATGTCATGTTTTAAAAATTGAATTACAACAATTTTCCGCAAAAAATTAAAAAAATAAATAAATAATTATTCTTAGATATACGATAAGTTTGTATTAAAATACAAATCATTATTGTTATATTATAAAAGTGTTTATTTCAACTCTCAAAATCTTATCTTGTTGTTAATAACGCACTGAATAGCACTTTTCAATCGCTGTACTGTGCAAAAGGTTAAATATTCTAAATTAAATGCTCTTTCAATATTTTATTTTTATTTCTATATAAAAAGTAATCAAAATATTCGTTTTTTCTCTGTAATCTATTTTTATGTGAAAATACACGATTAAAAAACCAAATTCATCTCTTTTAAAAAAACTAGTTTGTCTATAAGCTTCAAAAAATGGTCCAACTCTCCCAATTAGAATGTATAAATAAATCATTTCTCACAAAACATTTTTACTAAACATAATCGAGCAAACTACTTGAAATTAAAAATATTTAATGTATAGACTCAGTTGCATTTTAGTTTTTAGCTTTACTTTTATCACATAAAAAATATGTAATATATGTATACAAATATTTCTTTAGCTTTCGTTCAAAATTTTCTAACGCATTGTCTCCAAAAACTTAAATCACATTAATTTTACATATATAGCGATATTAAAAATAGTTTGGTTAATCTGAATGTAATTGAAACATTCATCATCGTCATTCATCCGTCTCATATCTCAAAAATTTAATTATGCCAACCAGAATCCCTCTGGTTTATTTCTACTAGAATAACTTTAAAATAAAAATAGCACCTATATTTCATGCTTATTTTCTCATATGAATATAAAGTATATTTCTCGAAATTATTCCAATAAGCGCAATTTAGCCGCGCAGGAAAGAACACAGGGAAATCTCTCATCGATATATCACATTCCACGGAAGCTTTCCGCACAACCTTACGGTTCTAGGAACCATCGCAATAAGAAAATTCTCATAGTACTATAATCGCGAGATGCAAATAGCCGCGGCTGCATGTTGTCGAGCGAATACAGACGAATATACACTACCCATTAGAGATTGCGAGGATTCGCATCGGCCATTTATCGCGACTCTTTTCGCGAGATGCCCCGAGGCTCCGATCTCCCCCCTTGGCAGGGGAGATCGGGAGCGGCGAAATGTATGAAACCGGTCGAAGATAGGTGCGGTAACTTCCGCAAACTTCCGGCTGACGATGGACATTGATGGAACGCTTATCCGTCATCTCGCTTTGTCGTGAGACCGCTCGAAAAGAGGCTCATTCTAGGGGGAGGTTTAGGGGAGGCGTCTTCGTGTCATCCGATCCGATCCGATCCTCGGACGATGGAGATTCCCCCATGGCCACATCCTGGACTGCGCAATATCGTGATGTTTCTAAAAGCCTGCGGCTATCTCACTTATTGCCAGGTATATCAGTCGGACGATCGCGTGACCCCGGGATATTCGGGGCGCAATCACGCGTGAAAATGAGGCTGCAAGCGATATCCGATTGCGCAAATCGATTACGGATATTAAATGCGAGGGAGCTGCGATTATCGCGAAGTAACGGTTTCATAGTCGTCGCGATCAACAGAGGCAAAATTTCTCGCTGAAAATTAAAATTTAGCTACAAGAGGGGAAGAGAGAGAGAGGGAGGGGGAGAAAGGAAAGGATTGTAAATAGCTTTAATATCGATTATATATTAACGTGAAGGGACTCGCGCGCTTTTCTGTAGATTCCCATTAGCGCGGATCGAAACGTAAATTCTTGTAGGAAGAAGGGCCCACGTGCAACTCCTCTCGCCCGGATACGAGGGAATTCGTTCGAGAACCGTGGCTAAATGAAAATTCTCAATCTTCCCGTTCCCATTATCGCACATTCCGAGATTGTTAATAAATGATGAGATTGGCGACATCAAATGTCGATGGAGCCTGGCAAAGGACGAACCGAAATAACGAGAAAGCAAGGAGCAACTCGAAAACGAATATCGCGACTGACAATTAAGTAAATGAGGAGGGAAAAAGGCCGGATCGTATCGCGAATTAAACTTGCCCAATCCTTTCGTATACTCATAAAAACGAGTTATTTCACGGCTTGCTGCGCTTAAACTGACGCTGACGAGCGAATTATCGCGCACGACTGGGTGACGTTTATTTGACGTTCGGACGACATATCTCGTCCATCTGACGTCGCACATGACGATGCGCGTTGTCAATACAATATAAGTTTAACTCTAACATTTTCCAATAACACAGATGTAAACGCACGATAACGCGAAAATGTGAGAAATCGCGCATGAAATAAATATATAATAATATAATAAAATATATAATAATGCGAGAGAGAGAGAGGCGCAGGATATTTTATCCCGAGTAAAATATTTGCTCTTCTCGTTGAAATAAAAATTACGGAAGGGAGCGTAATGTACGTTCGTCCTGAAAGTATCCTAAAAGCCTTCCTCGAGAAATCTCCTGGTCTCAAGTAGAGGTGGGCGATCTGTCACTTACGTTGATGCGATCCGATCCAAGTCGCTTAGCGACGTTCTTCATAAACCGACAATCAATATAACCGGCAATCAAGTACGCTTGATAACTAATTTCTGTTTTTCTACGCTATCGAACTCTCGCAGGTATATTATCGTGTAAATTATTAAATGAAGATTAGGGAAAGTATAGTTTGCGAGAATCGGAAGGGCGTGTAGATTGTGCTCTCCAATGGTCGATCGTCTTTAAGCTGGACGTCATTTACAGCACCTAATAATTTACGGCATCATATTACAGCGTCGCCATTATAGCATGAATTATTTTACATAGCACACTCGCATATATCTATATATCGTGTAATACACACTCTAATATGCAAACATTATAACATATATGTACATCGCATTTTCGAATATAATTTCTAATTTATACGTTAAAACGATAATCTCAAAGCATCTTCTCGGTTCACAAACTTTCTCTAATTATGTCTTAATGGAAAAGCTCAACAGAGACTCGTGATATCTCTGGAGTGATTTTTGTAGATTTAGCAATTTCCGATAAAAATCACGATCGTTAACTCGATGTTATTATCATAACTCTGAAAAATTGAACGTTCTAATATTACAAAGATCGTTATATCGGAAA